TCCCCCGGGCCACGGTCTCCTTTTAAGGCCCGGCGTCGCCCCCTCCCGCACGGGCGGCACAGGGAGCGCGGAGGGGGGGCTCCTGCCTGCGCCCTCCGGAGCTGCCCCAGCGCCTGCGACGGGGCCGGGGGGCTGCAGGCGCACACCTCTGCCCCAGTCCCCCCTGCCCCGTGTGCCCCAGGCTGAGGCCACGGTGCCCCTGGTGCTGTCCCGTCGGCCTCCCCCTGCCCGGGATGCCCCCGTTGTGCGTGGGGTCCGGCTCCACGCCCGCAGCGAACCTCCGCGCAGGGTGCAGGACTCACCCCCCCGCGTGCTCCCCCAGGGATGACCACGGCTTCAGCCCGCTGCACTGGGCCTGCCGCGAGGGCCGCTCCAACGTGGTCGACATGCTGATCATGCGGGGGGCGCGCATCAACGTCATGAACCGGGGCGACGACACCCCCCTGCACCTGGCGGCCAGCCACGGCCACCGCGACATCGTGCAGAAGGTACCGACCGGCACCCCCGCAGCACCCCCCGCCCCACAGAGCACTCCTCAGCACCCCACAATTCCCCCAGCACCCATGCCGGGGCCCCCACAATGCCCCAGGACCTGTCAGCACCCTGCCCCTCCCCCTTTGCTCCCAGGACCCCATGTGCCCCGTCACTGGGCGTCACTGGGAGCAGGGAACTGGGACCCAGCGCCCCCCCACACTGAGGTCCCTGGCTGCTCCCGCAGCTGATCCAGTTCAAGGCCGACATCAACGCGGTGAACGAGCACGGGAACACGCCGCTGCACTACGCCTGCTTCTGGGGCCACGAGCAGGTGGCCGAGGTGAGCCCTGCCGGCCCGGCGGGGGGGCTGGGGGCACTAAGCTGCAGGGCCGGGGTCTCACCCTCCCCCTACCCACAGGACCTGGTGAGCAGCGGGGCCCTGGTCAGCATCTCCAACAAGTACGGCGAGATGCCCCTGGACAAGGCCAAGGTCCCGCTCCGAGAGGCTCTCAAAGGTAAATGTCGCCCCCGCCCTGCCCTGGGCCGCAGCCCGCCACCCCCTCGTGTCCTGCCCCAGGCACACGCCCTCTTCCCTGGCCGTGCCCGGTCTCTCCCGCAGACCCCGGCACCCAGCGCACATCTCTCCGCAGAGCGGGCTGAGAAGCTGGGCCAGAGCCTGACCAAGATCCCCTACAAGGACACCTTCTGGAAGGGCACGACCCGCACCCGGCCACGTAAGCTTGCTGCCACCACAGGGGCGGGTTGGGGGCACTTCTCTGCTTGCAGGGGGCTTCTTGGGGTCGCCCACTGGCAGCCCCCCACAGCTGCAGAGCTGGGGAGGTGGGGGGGAGTTGGGCAGCTCTTCCCAGATTCCCCTCTGTGCTTGCAGGAAATGGGACCCTGAACAAACTGGCCGGCATCGACTTCAAGCAGCTGAACCTGGGCCACAAACTCAACGAGAACCAGTCTGGAGAGGTGGGCATGGCAGAGGCCAGGGCACCGTGCCCTGGGGGCTGCCCAGCCCCTGGCTGGGGTACAAGCCTTGACTCTGCTACCGTCACTCCTACAGTCTGGGGCTCATCCCCTAGTCCGCGCGTGCCCTCCTCCCGTCTGCACAGGGGGTCACAGCCCTGGGGGCGGGCTGGGAAGAGCAGAAGGGCCCCGTACCCCGTGATCCGCCCCGCTGACCCTGTCCGTGTCTCGGCAGCTGTGGAGGGGGCGCTGGCAGGGCAATGACATCGTCATCAAGGTGCTGAAGATCCGGGACTGGACGACTGGGAAGAGCCGCGACTTCAACGAGGAGTATCCCAAGCTCCGGTGGGGCCGAGGGCCTGGCCGCGGGATGGAGGGGTGGGGGGACGTCTCTGGGCAGGGGTGCAGGTGGTGGGGCTGGGCCATGGCTGGAGTGTGAGGGGCGGGGTGGTGGGGATGGGCCCGGGGGGAGCCTGTGGTGCTCAGGCCCGGCCTCTCGCAGGATCTTCTCACACCCCAACGTGCTGCCTGTGCTGGGCGCCTGCCAGGCGCCACCCGCGCCCCACCCCATCATCATCACACACTGGATGCCCTACGGATCCCTCTACAACGTGCTGCACGAGGGCACGAGTGAGTGTGGGCATGGGGAGGGGCTCGCAGCGGTGGGTGGGAGGCGTTGTCCCATCCCCGGTCCTCCCCCCAGCACCGACACCGCCCGTCTCCCCCCGCAGACTTCGTGGCGGACCAGACGCAGGCGGTGAAGTTTGCGCTGGACATCGCGCGGGGCATGGCCTTCCTGCACACGCTGGAGCCCCTCATCCCCCGGCACCCCCTCAACAGCCGCAGCGTCATGGTGAGTGCGCTGCAGGCCCACCCGGCCCCCATCTGCAGCTGTGTCTCGCCCCGCTGACCCCCTCTCCCCGCAGATCGACGAGGACATGACGGCGCGGATCAGCATGGCCGACGCCAAGTTCTCCTTCCAGTGCCCCGGCAGGATGTATGCCCCAGCGTGGGTGGCGCCAGAGGGTGAGCGCAGGCAGGGCCTGGTGGGAGGGGGTCAGGTGCCGGCAGCCCCTGCCTGCCCCCTGCTCACGTCTGCCCGCGGCTTTCCCACAGCGCTGCAGAAGAAGCCTGAGGAGATCAACCGGCGCTCGGCCGACATGTGGAGCTTCGCGGTGCTGCTCTGGGAGCTGGTGACGCGCGAGGTGCCCTTTGCCGACCTCTCCAACATGGAGATCGGCATGAAGGTCAGTGCTGGGGGTGGGGGGCAGGCCTGGGGGTCTGGGCTGTAGCCCTGGGGTCCCCAATCCTGACCCGGCCGGGGGCTGCTCGCGGGCAGGTGGCGCTGGAGGGGTTGCGCCCGACCATCCCTCCCGGCATCTCGCCGCACGTCTGCAAGCTGATGAGGATCTGCATGAATGAGGACCCGGCCAAGCGCCCCAAGTTCGACATGATCGTGCCCATCCTGGAGAAGATGCAGGACAAGTAGCCCCCGCGCCCACCCAGCTGCCGCCACCAGCTTCCCCCGCCGCCCCCAAGTGCCTTCGGGAGGCGCCAGGGCCCCCGCCCGAGCCAGCCACGGACACACGGTACAGACGACGCTGCCGCCTCTGCTCCAGGCACCGCAATGCCCCCTCACCCCTGCCGCAACCGGCACTGCTCCAAGCAGGGATGGGTGCAGGCTGGGTAGGGGCCTGGCTCTGGGCAGCCCTGGACACAGGGTGAGGCCGGGCTCTGTTGGCCACTGGACGTGGAGCCCCAGGCCCAGGTTGATCTCCACTCTCCGCAGCCCTTGCCCTGTGCTCCCCAGGACCTGCCCCTCCCACCAGCCTCTCCCCCCGGGGCAGGGGGGGGAGGTTTGGGGCTGGCCTGCCCACGGCCGGCACCACCCTGGCTTCGCGCTTCACTTTGTCATGGTTTCCATCCAGGCTCCACGGGAAAACTGCCAGCGTCTGAATAAATCTTTGTTACAAAAGCAGACCACGTGTGGCTGAGTGGTGGGGTGGGGTGGGGTGGCGTGGCCTGCCTGGGGCCACGCGTGGCTGGGCGCGCCGCTGCGCAGCGACCACGCAGGGCCAGGGGGTGGGTGGGGTGCCCTGCCCAAGGAGGAGCAGCCTGACCCGGGGCCACAGGGCCAGGGCCACGTGACTGCCCTGCAGAGAGTGTTGAGCTGTACTCGGCCTCTCCACCCTTCCTCATTCGGCCACCACGACAGCGGCAGGATCTGGCCGCCCCATGGCCGCCCGCCCTTGGGACGAGGATGGGTGTCCTGGTGCAGCAGCTGGGGGCGGGAGCACCCCCCAGCGCAAAAGACGCAGACCCCAAATCCTGCGGCCGCTCCGCCCACCCACGGCTCCCGTGCCCTGCGGCGTAGACAAAGCCCGAGGCCGGGTCAGGCGCGAGCGAGGCAGACGGCACCGCAGAGAAGCCAGTACCCCGAAGTCCACGGTTTAATGACAGACGGGGTCCTGCCCCTCTGCCCGGGCCCGGCTGCGGCAGGCCCGCGGCGTGCGCGGGCGCTAGGTGAAGTAGTGCGGCTTCTTCACGTTGATGCCGTACTCGGCGAGCGCCGGCGTCAGGTCCTCCATGGTCAGCGTGTACTTCTTGTCCTGCGGGACGGGCGGCGTCATGCTCCCGCGGCCCGAGCGCGCCCCCCAGCGGCAGCAGCAGCAGCACGGTCTGGGCCCGCGCCCCCCCTCACCTTGCTCTTGTTGCGGGAGCTGCCCGAGGCCGTGCCCTTCATCTTGCAGTGCTGCAGGGCGTCGTTGGCGATGTCCGAGATGAACTTCTGCGCCGGCCGACGGGGGGGTCGCTTACATGCGCGGGTCGGATGCCTCGAAGCCGCCTCGGTGGAGGTAATAGCCCGTGACGGCATCCGGGATCTGCAAGGGGAGAGCGGGGGTCAGGCGGCGCGGCGCGGCGCGGCAGGAGCCCCCCAGCCCAGGCGTGGCGCGGCGCTCACGGGGGGGGGGTAGGCCTCCCG